AGCTCCCCTCTCTCCAGTTCCCCTCGTGCAGCAGCGTCTCTCCTCCCATAGCATGTGCTGTACTGACACCTTGGTCAGATCCTCTCACAGACACCCCCACTTTGAGTCTTTAATTGCGCAGTCTCCTTTCTCCTCCTACTCCCAACCCCATCAGTTGCCCTGACTTTCTTTATGACCTTTCATTCTCTTCTTTCTTGTCGCTGGACTCGTTTTTGGTGACGTTTTTCTCCCAGCTCCCCCACAAGCCCTGCTTGATGTCCAGTACCATTTAGTATTCCCTCACAGTGTCTCCTGTGGTATTTCCTTAGTGCCTGGCAGTCTTTTCCTTATTCTAGTGACTGTTTCACCCCTCTGTTTTGATGTCTTTCTTCTCCTAAAACAGCAGATGGTTTGCTGTCCAGTCTACTTCTACCATCAACTCTGTGGGGACACTTAAAATTTCATGCCCTGGGGTGAGAGGTCACATGGATTAGGGAAGACAGATGGTAAAATACTAAATAAAAACCAAACACCTAACATGTTAAGTAGTATTGCTGTGTGTCAGATGCAATTCTAAGCCCTTTACGTATGTTATCTCAGTGAACCTTCATAACAGACTCTGAGGTGAGTGGTGTTATTGTCCTTGACTTACAGATGAGGAAATGGGGGCACAGAGAGCTAAGTAACTTGCCCAAGGTCACACTGATGGTGAGTGGTCAGAATTCAAGCCTAAGCTCTTCCGCATGTCCACCTGCCTCTCTGAAGAATTGATGTTATAACAAGTGAAAGATGAAATGTCACTTAAGGAGACACACACACTCATGGGAACACACACCCTGCCCTCTTTTTCCTTCTCTCTCTGTCCCCTCCCTTCCTTTTTCTTTCTCTCTTTCTTCCCTTTTCCAGAAAAACTGTCATCTTCTCTAAGCAGGGAGTGACCTCTCAAGGTCTTCCTTATTTGAAGTCCCCTGTAGTTCAGTGAATCTCTTCCTGTTATATTTTGTTTTTTGGGTGGCTGTCCAGTATGGGGATCCGAACCCTTGACTTTGGTGTTATCAGCACTATGCTCTAGCAGAATCCGCTAACTGGCCAGCTCAGTCTCTTCCTGTTTTATCCACATCTTTTCAGTTTACAATCGGCACCCAGGTTCTAGAGAAAAGGGATTTCACCTTTTTGGCAAAGACGTCTGATCCGTATTTGTAGTCTCAGGACAGGCAGAGAGATCGAGTTTCACACCCTTTAAGCAA